ACAATGAAAACCTCAGACAGGAGGAAGAGCGCCGCCAAGTGGGCAGGTAGGTGTCTTGCTCGGCTGTGGCTTGGGGGGCACTTTTTTCAGTGCCACTGTAACTTTGAACAATCACTAAGCGAACTGTTGTAAGTCAAGGACTACCTGTACTTCATTGTTTTTCCTTTTTGGGGGAAGTCATCAAGTTTTTGACCCCTTGCTAGGCGACTGGTGGTACTCGGATGTTGCCATATCCTAAAAGTGGTACAATGGGTGAAAAGGTTGAAAAGCCCTGGTCTAATAGACTGATTTGGGGGGATTTTGATGTCACATATAGAACACAACCCTTTCAAATCAAATATCTCTTCTAGAGCAGATGGACATCCTGGTAGAAAATATTGCAGTCCAATTGTAGCATGAATGAGGGAGGAGAGTAGCAAGCAGCTTGACAGAATAGAGATAAAGCCCAGAATGAGGTATGTCTCAGAGGGCCTGCTTTTATCTGCAGCACTTAGAACTTGCTCTTGCTTTTCTTGGACAAGCCTAAAATAAGCCCCGAGAAGTGTATTTTGTGGTTGCCCACTCAGGTAAACCTGAAACACCGTTGAAACTCCTTCCAACTCCTACAGTAGGTTTGTGTAGGTGAAGCAGGGTGGCAAAGCTCCAAGCAATCTTTGAAAGATAAATAAATTCATAGATCTAGTCATTGGTCAAAGAGGTCTACCAAGCATGGCATCTTAATTTTTTATTTTTTGTGAGAGGAGTAAATCGCATCCACTGAGCATTTTAAGGATTGGAGGGTTGCAATGTTAGAGAAATTCTGAATTCTTAAAAAAAAAAAAAAAGTCTCAAAATAAATACCTTTTCAATCTGTGTCAGCTCCTTGTGGTAGTTCAGACAGGAAACCAAACCCATAAATACCAAGACTACCTTTATTATAAGATTACACTAACAGAATCTTTAAAGTATGAAAGACCTCTCCCCCTCCTCTGCTTTTTCTTTCCAGAGAGTTATGGAGAGTCCCTTCTGAATGTTTCCCATGCTGCTATTCTTTCAGGGACTGAGATGTCTTTTGTCGGACCGTTACACCTAGGCTGTGTCTCTCCCTCTTGTCTCCCAAGGTTATTCTTACAGCCTATTAAAATCTATGTCATCTATGCATAAACCTCATTTTGCAGACAATCAGTGGTGGGATTCAAATATGTGAACAACCAGTTCTCTGTGTGGATGCTACTTCTGGAAGTCCATTCTGGGCCTGAGCAACAAAAAATTAGCTACCGGTTCTGCCGAAGTGGTGCAAACTGGCTGAATCCCACCACTGCAGACAACTATGGAGCATCTCTGTTCAGATACAGCCAAATCAGAGTTGGGGCTGATACTAGAGTAGAACAAAATGCTAGAAACTTTCTGTCTCCTCATTTCATCAGTCAACCAAATTTACAATGCAGATAAGGCCTATAGGAGATGGGACTAATCTTCTCGCAAAACTGTGGGGCAAAAGGTTCAAGGGTACAAATTTGCTATCATCTGTCTGTGTGTCTGTCTGTCCCTCCGTCCATCCACCCATTCAAATTTATTAGCTGACCAGGTCCTTGTCTACTGTCTGGCTGCTTTACTGGAAATGCAGCACAGCTTCTCTTCTTCCCAGAAACATGAATGGAGAAAATTGTTCCATTCATTTGTGGAGGAAAAAAAGAAACATACTCCTTCCCCCCCCTTTTTTTTTGTTCTTCTATACGTCTGAGAACAGCAAGAGAGGGAGAGGGAGAGAAAGCAAAAGAATGAACAACAGAGAAAGCTGCTTGGCCTACCATTCTGTAGGTGGTTATTGAATTAAAGAGAAGATCCCACCCCCATTCCACTGTATAACCCTCCCATATTAGCTATTTCTCTGCTGGTTTTAATGTTATATTTATTGTTCTACTCTTTTATAATATTGTTTTATCGTGTTGTACACTGCCCAGAGTTCTGTGACAACAAGATGAGTGGCATATACATTTAATTAATAAATAAAATAAAGCTCTAACACAGGGGTTCCCAACCGGGTTTGTGTACTAGCATTGGTCCATGGCATGCCAGAAAGTGGGCTGAGCAAACAAGAGAAGCTCCATCTGGGTCCATGAAAGCTCCATGAAACCAGCCCCCCTCCGGTTCTCTCCACAGAACCGGTCCCTGGTGCATGTGCAACTCTTTATAAACCAGTCTTTTATATGTCTCTTTCTGGTCTTTATCTGCTATTGAACTCAATATCATATCATCATATATTTATTGTAAATATTTCTACTGACCCGGGTAAGCATGAGTTTCCTAAAATTATTGAGGGTGAGAAAATAAATTATAGATTATGATTTTTTGAGGCTTCTCTTTATTTTAATGTGGCTTTGTCAGATTTCAAATAGAATAGTTTGTGCAATCTCATGACTAGCAACGGTTATGTATTAAAAGAGAACCAAATGAAAACAGCACGGCTCTGAGTTGTGCTCACAGTATCAAACCAATGACATCAAGTAGAACAACCAGCCTTAGAAGTGGCAATGAAGTTATTAAAATGATGGATAGCTTCTACCTTTTAGAATCAACCATCTATAGTAAGCAGGCAAACAGTTAAGAAGTATGCCACAGACTAACATATGGTAGAACAGACATGAAGACCTTGGAAAAGATATTCAGATGCTTTGATATGTCTATACCTACAAAGATCGGAATAGTGCAGGTACACTCTGTGATACTGTGTCCTGTGACATTCTATGGAAAGGAATGTTGGACTTTGAAGAAGCAGGATAGGAAGAATAGTGATGTTTTTGAAGTTGTGTTGGAGGATAACATAGATAGCTAAGAAAACAAACAAACAGATCTTTAAACAAATCAACTTAGAGTTCTCAATTGAGGCATAAATGACCCAGACTCAAATTATTCTATTTCAGACAGATAATGCAAAAATCTAACTCTCTGGAAAAGACTGTAATGCTTTGAAGGTGGAAGAAAAGAGAAGAAGAGGACAGCCAGCAGCAAGGAGGGTGGACTCAGCTAGAGTGGTGATGTGTATAAGTTAGGAGACATGAAAGACCAAGTTACAGAGAGATCGCCAGAGAGAAAAAAATGTATCTACGAGGTTGCTAAAAGTCAACACTGATTTGATGGCACATAATCGACCAACCAATCCAATACTGGTAGCACCATAGATATGCTTGTTTGTCCATCAAAAAGCATTCCCAAGACTACAGCTGTTTTATTTCACAGCTGCTATTTTTCAGCTTCCTTGTGTGGCTGATCAGATGAGCTTTTAGCCCACTGCATAGTGGAATGTAGATAAACATGATATATAAGCAGACAACACTTGAGGGAAAATACATGATAATCCATTTCTGAGAAAAGGGAACAGCGCGGGGGGGGGGGGGGAAAGAGTATCAAAATAACCCCAGGAGGCAAAGGAAAACTCTTCTGCTTTTCAGCAATATAGTTAATCCTTGACTTAAGTCCACGACTGAGGCCAAAATTTCTGTTGCTAAGTGAGACAGTACTTAAATGATTTTTGCTGTATTTTACAACTTTTCTTGCCCCCAATAATATCCATCCAATAATATTACTGTGGTGCTACTGTTAAGCTTTCAGCCCTTGCCCTAATTCCTTCTGTAAAAGACTCAGAAAAGGACCAGAATCTCCTAACTAGGCATCCCCTACACAAGCTGGCCTGAAGCCTTTACTATTCCAATTCAGCTGGAATCAGGGGAGTCATAGACCCAGTTTGACTAAAGACAGCTAAGTGAAAATAAGCTAGGATAATCAAAATGAATTAATTGTGAGCAGAACTGCTGTTTCTTTGGAATCAGCTAGTCACATTTAGCAGAGAACTATGTCTATTAATAACAGGTGCTAAAAAGTAAATGACAGTGTTTTTTTTCATGAATGTATCTCCCAAAATTGAATGGACACCCAGGGATTTTTCTCTCTCTACATATAAAGCCAGATTTATTGCTAAATTTCACGCAACACTTTAACCATTTATTTATGATTCCTCTATATGTCAGTTCCTGAATTATACTACATCTGATTCTTATGTGCTACGCATCCATATATAGACTCATTAGGCAATCCTTGTAGAAGGAAGCTTCCCCAAGACTACGAATGCAGTTGTTTTATAACTATTTCATTGGGCTTTCCTGAACATACTTTTTCCCATGAAGGAAAAAAAAAAGAAAGGAAAAATCAGAGGCAAACATTGGACGGTTATAAATGATAGTTGACATCCTCTAGATATTAAATCAAACACTGTACAAAACTTGATTTATTATTAAATTTAAATGCCACTATCTCATGATCTAAAGTTGGTGGGATTACGAAAGCTTCCTCCTCAAACTTTCTTCCTTTTTTTATTTTGTTTTATTGAAACATTTTGAATGTAGTCATGAGCAAGCAGTCCTCATATCTCTGTCTCTCATGCCATCATTTAACTTTTCCCTCCTAATATACATTCCAGTGACACTGAAAAATAATACAATCTGAAATGGAACACGAGACAAAATATAAATCACGGTACAAAAAAAAAATACAAAATGTATAATACTCTGAGTTATGGCTAAAGTTCACACCATTGGTATTGCTGCTTCTGTGCAAATCATACACTGTCTGGACCCAGCACATATCTGCTGGTCTATTTCAAACACTTCCATTTTTTTTCCTAGCCTCATATATGCCATCATATATGCCTCATATATGCCATCCATTCTGATGACACTTGAGTTAACCATGAAGGATAACTTCATGGTTCAATGACAACTTACACTTACATTTCTGTACTGGAGGGAGGCAACTGTGACTGTTGTCATTAGTCAAGTGTGATTGTTGAACAATCACAGTCTAGTCAGCTGCGGTCTAAATATGGCATGGAGTATTTTAATATACTATCATCTATTGATATAAGGGTTCCTGCTAGTTCTGACATAATCATCTGCTTACAATATTCAACTTTAGATAAATGCCGAAAGTGCATACACAGATAGATAATTTGGACTAAACCTCACCTTCATCATAAAAGCCAGACTGGATTTGCAGAATCCGAGGTAGGGATTTTGGACCCAAAGAATGGATGAAATTCTTCAGGCTAAAGGCCATGGTCTGCAGAGTAACAAAGAGATGCTGTGCTTAAAGGCAAATACCTTTTAGGGGGCCTTCTATTATTTCTTCTTGCCTTTGAAATTAAGCCTGGGAACTTCTGAAACACGCTTTCTCTAGTAGAGACAAAGTCTCATAAATCTTCAACTGGGAGACCACTTCCTCTGACTTCATTCTGGGTTGCTACAAAAAGGAATAAGATGCTAAGAGTGCTCTAATGCACTACCTACTTTTTGTATCAATCTGGGCCACAGGAAATACAGTTTATACGCAGCTGTACTAACACAGAACTATTGATTTAATCTTTGATAGTTTGACAACGAACCTGGAACATTAAACTTCAAAACAGAGAGTTTTCTTATTTTAAAGATTTTTCTTTCTTTCTTTCTTTCTTTCTTTCTTTCTTTCTTTCTTTCTTTCTTTCTTTCTTTCTTTCTTTCTTTCTTTCTTTCTTTCCTTCCTTCCTTCCTTCCTTCCTTCCTTCCTTCCTTCCTTTCTTTCTTTCTCTCTTTCAAAATTGAATTTTACTTCCTTTCACCCTTAAACATGGCAGGGAATCTTGCTTAGAAATCAAATAGCTGAAAATAGTCTAAGAGCAAACCAGAATAAAACTATTGCACTACAGATAGCATGCCAGGGATATCCATTTGAAGGTTCATCTTCTATTAAAGTTTAATAATTCTGAAGGCTCCCTTACAATTAAAAATCACCTTCTGCTTGCAGAATGATGTGAAGCACTCCTGTTCACCATTTCAGCTTTCAGAAATCATCCCCCTTGGTTTGAAAATAGTCACCAGGCTATCTTGATTTCCTACTTTTGTGCTCAATAGCTATATCCTACTGCCATGCTCAAGACTCACCATCTCACCAGTTTTGGGTTCAACCAAGACTTCATACGTATTTTACTCCTAACTTCTCTCCCTTCCATTCTGTGTATACACTGCTGAAAAATTCTTCTGTGAAAATGTTCCTTGCAATAACACTGATAGTGTCTTAAAGTGGGGCAAGGGAAGAACATGTACTATTAAGACTAAACTATGTCTACCTTAAGAAAATGGGCTGGAATGTCATCTTCCTTTGAGTAGTAGGAAAGACAATTTTAAGCTTCCAGTCAGCGGTTCTAGTGAATTATTCACATGGCTTTGAACTCACAAATAACCCAAAATATAATTGTTAAAATGAGAGGTAAAATGAGAGTCTCATATTACTAACCAGATTATGACTTGAAGAGATGTGGCTCATATATATTACCCAAAGAATGACCAAGATGATGAAGAGGCTGGGCCATTTCCTATAGAAAAAACACTAAAATGATTGGTGTTTTCCCAGTCTCAAATTAAATTCTATAAAGATAATTTTGAACAGAATTAGATGATCGGTTTTTGGTTTTTGTTTTTTAAAGAAGGAAATCCATGAGCAAACTCTGTGTATACAGGCTTTGGATTGGATTTATAATACTTGATTCATTGCCTACCTTGACTTAAAGTTCAGGTTTTTACTGAACTATGGCAGTTAACTGGAGAAAACCTGGTTGGCTTTAGGCTTAATTTTTGGTTCCTTGGTTCTTCATATGATGTGTTCACTGCTCTGTAACCAAGTATGTGAAATGTATGCCACAGTCTCTCATACTCCTAAGAGGAAGGAGAATTATAATCTCTCACTTTACGACAAAAATATTATGTTTCTAGAGAAATATAGTTCAGTAGAATATAGCATTCTGTCCTTACTACTGGTTTTAGGTACTTCTGCAAAGATTTAAAATATATTAAAATTATTATGATTATTAAGATTAATTTAAATATATATACCACCCACCTCTTAACTATTTAGGAATTCTGCACTGATTAAGCACAGGAAAAAGTAAAATCGTTACCAAGGGAAAAAAAATAACAAGACAAAAAAGAATAGAACAACAACAGACATGAACAAAAGAACAACATATACAATCGAAATATTCATTCTTAAAACAGGAAGAAAAATTGAAATGTCTCAGTCATACACATGCCATTAATTTTAAATATGTTGCCTTTAGAAGAAGCAATCATTTAGTGGGCTCATTCATGATTTAACTTCAGTGAAAAGCTCTGTGAGACTTGTTAGAGCATATGCCATATAGGATAGTGAGGAAAACATCAAACACCATTATGTAAGGGAACATGAAGCCAAAAATAAATCACTTTCTAAAGGAAAGAGAAAGAACGAGAAATGTTGAAGGAGGAATTGGTCTAGTTGTTATATAGTGCAGTGCCAAATACTTTATTCGACTGTTAAAGTCTGTTAGAAAAGATCCCATTAGCATGTTCTCAGTAATATTAGAGAGAACATATGGATAATAGTGTTGGCTAATCATGTGTCCTCGTTTGCCCTGTTACCTGGCAAACAAAAAAGATTCTCAGCTAAAGCATGGGAACAGAAGAGACACCAGAGAATCCCTTCAGTTTGAATTACAAGTTGTGTTTGTGAAAAGGAAAGTGTTACAAAAAGAGTGATTCAAGAACAGGTAGCTATTTTCACTAAACCTTTCAGCTCTCTGAACTCAATTAAATTGCTAACTAGCATAAAGGGGGCAATCTGAGAGGGATATCGTTCACAGCTCAGATGGCCAGATACTCCTTTGACTGACAGCTAACACAAAGGCCCTTTTACAACCTTTTGTTGCTCTTTCCAGGAACTACCATGTAATCCCAGTATGAAGGTTATTTGATTATTGGCACCAATGTAATTAAAGAAGGAACTCAATCTGTTTTCTCTTGCAATTAAAAATCACTAAGAGTGAATTTCATGAACAGAAACCTTTATGTTGCATTAATGATGTGCACATCCAAACTAGTAATTATACTCCAATTATAATGCTTAATTCAAATGATTTGGTTTTAATTCCTATATAATGGAATATCATTAAGGTAAAAAAAATGAGCAAAAAGCCCACTTTGTTTGACAATCTATTCCTCAATGTGTAAAATAGAATTAGCATTACTCTCTAATTGCACTAATTCTGAAGGTAGTTGCTGGTACATTTATTAAGTAAATCCTGCTATATCGTGGAGAGCTCATTTCCAAATAAAAGGGGATAGACTCAAACATGGCCTGCATGCTTTGTATTTCACAATGTTTCTTGCTGATGGAATGATTCTTATCATGCTTTAAGGTGATATTGAATGAATAGAACTTCACCCCTTCCACTGCACTCCATCCAAATGTTTTGGGGAAGATTTGAGGTGCTACAGAAAGATAAGAATCTTATCTTGCCATTAATGTGAATCCATAGCTGACCTTGTTAGATGTAATCTAAGTTGAAGTTGAAGTTATTAAAACTTTTGCTTGATACTGTGTTTATATACAAATATTGAGGTTTGTATATCTCATGGTACACACATTTGTTGAATAATACACACACACATACACACACAACTCTTAATAACCACTACAAATTAATGATTGTGGGAATATTAAAGGAAACATATCCAATTATTTCAGTGGACCACAACTTTTTAAGACCTTCTCATATCTCACAGTCTATATTTCCTTCTAAAAGGAATTGGAGAAGCCAGCAAGTTAGTTTTCCTAGATCGTCATTGACTCAATTACAATATAAGACTTTTTCCTAAGAAATTTTGCAGATCTTACAAAAATCTGTAATCCCTCCAAAATTGCTTAGACATATTCTATGAATCTCAAATTCTAGATTATATGGAATGACTCTAAAATATTGTCAAATTTATGACAATTATGAAATTTCTTTACCTTTTGTCTCCCAGCAAGCTGTCAGTTTTATTTTTGTCACACTTTAGCACTGACTGCATTTGAAACAACTTTAATATTATTTGAATTAATAGACAATTATGAAACAAATTATGCAGAATTATATAATTGTACATAATTATACAATTTTTCAAAAGAAAACTTCTTGACATATTAAATAATTATTTTTTTAAAAAAATATTATTTTTCCTGTAGACATTGATGCATTGCTAATTATATTAGATATTTTTATAATATGGTAATATTTATTGATTTCTCCTGCTCCATAAAGATCAAGATCAAATGTTTTAAGAGTAGCTCTTTGTTTTGTACTGAACAATTAAATGCAACTTAAATATAATCATCTCTATAATCACTTGTTAACAAATGTTTCATGTTTAAGGAAGTCCAACAATGACTGGGTAAATATTGCTTATGCCAAAAGGAAATGGTATCATGGGTTATGCATTTAATTTTATTCTCAACTGCATATACTATTTATCCACAGAAGGTGACATACATTCTTTGTTTCTCACTTTGCATCATATCATCACATCACAGGGGAAGTCACCTGTTTATTACAGAATAAACTCAACTGGCCCTGTATATAATGGGCAATGATATACTGTTTATGAAATCTTTTGGTATGTTCCTTCTGTATATATTGTTACAGTATGAAAATTATCTGTCTGTCCCCAACGTATTTATTTGTTTAATTCATTTACTTCATGTGAGCTGAAAGTTTCTTTCAATATATAATTAACAAGAAAAATAATCAAGGAAACAGTCTACTAAAGAGAGAAGACGGCAAGGAAATAACAGGCAGCAGAGAGAAAGCAGAGCTGCTTAACTCATTCTTTGCATCGGTCTTCATGCAAAAAGAAATTATAGCCCAACCTACCAAAAATATAACTGTAAAAGACAGTCTAGAAATAAAAGTTAAAATACCCCCCCCCCAAAAAATGGTAAGAGAACACCTATCTGTTCTTGATAAATGTCAATCATCGGGACCTGATAGATTACATCCCAGAGTTCTGAAGGAGCTGCCAAATGTCATCTCAGGACCACTGTACCATATATTTAAAAAATCCTGGAGCACTGGGGAAGTACCAGAGGACTGGAAAAGAGCTGATGTGGATGCCATCTTCAAAAAAGGAAAAAAAAAAACCAGAAATGACAGATCAATCAGCCTAACATCAATAACCAGGAAGATACTGGGAAAGATAATCAAAAACAGACCCGTGAACATCTAGCAACACGTAAAGTAAAAACTAAAAGTCAGCATGAGTTTTTAAAAAACAGATCATGCCAAACCAACCATATTTCATTCTTTGACAAAGTGACTAAATTAGTGAAATGTTGTGGATTTCAGCAAGGTATTTGACAAAGTAGATCATACCCTACTTCTTGGTAAGCTAAAAAAAAAGTGAGATAGACAGCATCACCATCAGAGGAATTTGAAACTGGCTGACAAACTGTACTTAACACATAGTCCTTAAAGGTACTACATCTATAAGGAGGCAAGTAAGCAGTGGAGTACCACAACGTTCCATCGTAGGCCCAGTACTCTTCAATATCTTC